TGATATGGCACTTCACTATCGTTGACAGAACTTAATGGAATGTCATGTGACATTTCAATAAAGTTCATGCCAAAAAAAGTAAACAGTGCGCTGCCTATAGTAGTTAGGGGGGTGTGGCTGCGGTAAGGGGGCGCCCCTAAGCTGTGCTAGTGTGCAACTCCTGAAGGTGGCGCTATAACCCATCGGCCAGAGATTCAAACATCTCCACTGTGTCCGTCAATGAACGGAAGGGAAAAATAAACAAACAGTGCGATGTGCTGCGATCGGCGCCATCATCACTGGTAACGGTCCGTGCATAGCAGCCGTGCATTTAGCGACGCTTGCTGCTGTGAATGGATTCTAAAATGACCTGGTGATCCCGCCATTTGCCTCATTTCCTGTCCCGGGTTGATAACACCATTCGGCCTTTTTCGAAATAGCTGGCCTCCCCCCCTGGAATCTGCACCGCATACGAATCCATAGTCTTGCGGACTTTTCCCTCTAGTGTGAGGTATAGAGAACTCCTCCCTCCGACAATGCGGCCCCTCCTCCCTCCATTTTGCTTTTGGGAGGGGAACGCAGTAACTTCAAACCCTCGTTTTTTTTTAAAGACATATCAATTACTACCATTTGGGCCATTGGTGAGATCCGCCTTTTATTCCTAATTCCACTGGACTAGTTATTAGTTGCCGGATTCTCTACTAGTCTGCGGAAGTTTCCCACCGAAAAAGTAAAGCAAACGGAGCAGAAAATGTCTCGTCACAAATCTTCTTTTATAATAAATAGAAATATATTCGGCCGGTTAAGGTGACCTGTCAGGGTGTGTAACTTGTGTGAACATTGTACGAGGGTCGGGGTCACCTCAGCAACTGACAGCTTATAACATCCAAGAGAAGCATCAGGAAGTACGAACCCTCATTTTGCCCTAGAGCATGGGTAGCCAAACTTCGGCCCAACAGCTGTGGTGAAACTACAAATCCCATAAGGCAAATCCCTGCACTTGAGCTACCCATTCTTCTTTTTTAAAAGACATTTTTCTGGGCACAGTACCCCCCCCCCCCCCCCAACGCCCTCC